GCCTCGGGGCAGCCCCCTTCGCCCAGGCCACTGGGCGTAGAATGGGGGAGGGGAGGGGCAGAGAGCAACCCGGGTTCCAGGCCTGACGGTCTGCACCACTTTTGTGCGCCTTTAATTTGCGCTTTGAAGGTTTCCCAAGGGCTGGTTTGCCCTGTCTTGGCAAGTGAGATCACAGGGATCAGCCCGTGTCAGGGCTGGGTGAAAATCTCTAGGAGCGTTTGGAAAGTTATCTGCTCCGCAGTCCTGGGATCTAGCTGGAGGGGTCAGAAGCCTCCTTCCCCAGGGCATGGGGAGGAGCCTTTTAAGGCCCTCTGCCAGAACTCCCCTCCTCAGGGGGCCCCTAGCTGAGGATCTCGCCGGCCCCTGGCAGAGGGTCTGCCCAGTGTCTGTGCCCTGTGCTGGCCAGTTGAGATTTTTCTCTGGACGGCCCGGGAGGCACTTAGCGTGGTGCCCTGTGCCACTTTCTACACAGCGGCCTTCGACACAGTGCTAGATAACGCCCAGGGGACAGAAGGGCCCCAGTGCACACATAATTCCCTGTTGAACCCGAACCCTAGATAAACAAGGTGTATGCCACATGCATTTATGGGGGGAGGGCGGGTACCCCTCGCCGTTCTGTCTGCAATGTTCTGTTGAGATGAGGGGAGCACTCCTGCGTCAACTCTTAACCTTCTCTGTGAGCTGACTCTGGGGCTTGATTTCAACTTCCTTAGCAAGTGTATCATACAAGTGCAATCTGGCCAAAACCTTTCCAAGAAAAAACTGATTCTGGAAAAGGAGCCGCTTCCTGTGTGTCATCTGTTAACAGCAGTTCTCTTTACTTTCAGTACTATGAGATGTCCTATGGCTTGAACATTGAAATGCACAAGCAGGTAAGTGCTTTTCTCTTTGACAAACAGATCTCATTTTTTAAAGCCTCCTGTACATAGACTTTTGGTGTTCCCTCCGTTTGGAAAATGAGCCTGAGTCTTCAACACAGGGTCAGGGACTGATTTTATTTTATTTTATTTTTTTGGACATATTGAGCTTTTAGCATTCTAGCTTGTGAAATGAGTCTTGGTCTTGAATCTCAGTGGAGGATAGAGGACCAAAGGGAAGCTTGTCCCCCTAGGATCTGCCTGAAAAACTCCTGAAAGCCCTGAGGTGGTGGCTGCTTTTATCTGTTCTAATGTAAAATTCTCAAGAGGAAGTGAAGGAGCTTTTTTTTTTCTTTTTGCAAAAAATGTGATGTTCTGCCTTGATAAGATTAAACTTCAAGAGCCTTAAAAGCCAGGCTGAGCTGTCGAAATGTAAGGGAACGAAAAGCCACTAACTGCTTAAAAACATGAAGCCAAGTGAAATGCAGCCCTGCCGCCTGCCTCTCCGCCACCACCTCCTCTGTCTTGATTGGACAGCCTCCGCGGTCCCATTTTACAGGGAATTGGGAGGGGTGGGGGGGTGAAAACTGGCAGCGGGTGGCCTGGCCAGGACTTGGGAGATGGCTGGAGTTGAGCTCAGCTTTGAAATCCTGAAGTCAAACCAGTTCAGCGAGTGTGGTGTCGTTTGATGGATATGTAAACTACCTTGTATTGTCACTCTCCTAATAACAGTGTACCTCCAGCCGAGCAAATACAAACACCCTTTATCTCTGTGCATATCAGTAACCAGTCCAGGGCTGGGCAGCCGGGCAGCCAGGCCCGGCTGTGGGCGAGGCCTGTTTGTGTATTTGTGTTCTGAGGAAAGGCTGCCTATATAATTTGGCTTGGCCAAAGAGTTGACTTGGCACACATCAACAGCAGGCAGGTTGTTCTTTTGAACAATTGGTGTTCTCAAAATCTCAGAAGGCTGTTGACTCACTTTAGCCTCTGGTGACCATGACTCGAATGGATTTTCTGCTCTAAATTAACAACCATTTACACAGTTTAAGTTTTGCTTCGGGAGGGGGCAGGACCCAGGGCTGGTGACCCCTGGGTGGCCTGCAGACCCCTGCCCACTGCTGTGGAGCCTTCTGAATCTGTGGTCTCCTTTCCCCTTCTGGAGGGAGCCCCCATGTTGGGTGAGGGGCAGCCAGGAAGGGGCCTGCGTTCATAGAACCACCTGGGAAGCTGGCTTGCGGCTTCCTGAGAGATTTGTTCTTAGGAAAGCAGGGGAAGGCCACCACGTTTTTGCATCTTGACACATTAGAAGTAATAAACAGACATGGCTTTCTACGGAAAGAGGCTTCTCCTGGAGGAGTAGACAGGTTCTGCCGACTGACTCTGGGTGGAACTGACCGGGTCTGGCCTGCCCAGGGAGAACGCGTGAAGTGGGGCTGGGATCCCAGGTGTTTCAAGGACTTTGGGGTGTTGTGCAAGGTGCCACTTGCTCACTTTCCACCCCCCTCATTTTTCTTCTCAGCGTTTAGTGTCTTGGGTGTGTTTAAATTGCACCCAGGTTTAAAATTTATGGCAGCAGTTATTCTGAGAGCTTGGTAATTAAGGTGTAATACTTGTGCGTGTTGAGGTCTGCATGGGTGGTGTTCCAGGCCTTTGAGGGGATAGTTCTTTGGCACAGAGACTCCACCTTGGCTGGCGGCAGAGCTGTTCTCTGTCCTGGGGACGCTCCGAACGCAGAAGAAGTTCAGTATGTAAACGTGTTTGATGGCAGGGCTGGTGGAAAGCAGCTGTGTGCATCTGGGAGTTCTGGCTCTTCCCCAAACCGGGTCCTTGGAGGGGGATGCCTGCGGTTTGGCTATACTGTTTCACATAATCCTCTCGGCTGCCGGTGGTGGACAGCGGGACTCTTTGCCCCACCCAACCCCCTGCTTTGGGGTCAGGGTCTTACTCTGTTGTCCGGGCTGGCGTGCAGTGGAATGCTCACAGCTATTGCGACCTCAACCTTTTGGGCTCAGGCGATCCTTCTGCCTCAGCCTTCTGCCTCAGCCTTCTAAGTAGTTGGAAGTAACGGCATGCGCTACCATGCCCAGCTAATTTTTATTTTAAATTTATTGTAGAGATGAGGTCTCACCAAGTTGCCCAGGCTGCTGTCAAACTCTTGGGCTCAGGTGATCCTCTTGCCTCTGCCTCCCAAAGTGCTGGGACCTGCCCCCTTTATAGGTTCTTTTATAGAAACTGAGGCTTCAGGGAAGTTGGGAGGAGCTTCAGGGAAGCTGGGACTCTGATTTCGGCTTCTGGGTTCTCTAACTGAGCGCCTCACCTTTGCCTCCCAGCCTGGGTCCCCAGCACGATCCTGGTGCTCTGAATGCTATGCCCTCGTGGGCTGAGGGCAGGCTCCGAGTGGGGTGAGGTCACACTGTGGAGAACAAAGAGGCCAGGAGGTGAAGAAATCCAGTGCTGAGAGCTGCAGCCCTGACCTCGTGGGGCGGCCACTCCCTGGGCTTGCCAGGGCCCCAGAGAAGAAAGCCCTGCCTCTAATTGCCGTGGGTCTTGGGTGCATTTGGCGGATGGTGGTTAGGCCTGAGCAAACAAGTTTATCAGCTGACCTGTTTAGCGGTTGACTGGTGTTTTATCTGCACACACAATCAAGTGACTGGAGTGCTTGAATTATTCATGCAGTGGCCTGCCCTCTAGACTTGACTGTTCGTGTGATTACATCTGCCTGGAACAAACAGGCGGGATTCTCATCTTGAAGCTGGGATGGGGGCGGGGACTGTCTGTACTTTTGTATAATAGATGATCGATCTACAGAGCTGGCACCTTGGGCGGCTTGGCTGCCCTCGGCCTGCTGGGGCGCACACATACGTTCCTCCACCACCACGCCACCACTTTTTCGTAAAACTCTTCTCTGCTGACTCTCTGGGACATGCCAATTAGCTGGGAATCTCGGGTTCTGCCCAGGTATTGGCAGGGCAGCCAATGAGGGGCGTCCAGCCATTTTCATATTCCCGAGGGTGTTATACTCTGGCTGGCTCCTTTCCTGGCCAAGGCTCTGTCTCCCCATGCCCCCCCTTCCCCAAACTGTCAAATCCCAGAGAAGTAATAAATGGTTTCTCCTCCTCCTCTGCTGCTTCCCTCCCTAATTATGGTAGAGCAGAGATTACAGCATCCCAGGCCGGCCAGGGACTTCAAGAGGTCACTTCCCGCCCCCCCCACCCCCAGCCCCTGCTTGCAGGCGGGAGGTCAAGGGTAACTCATGTGGCCTGGGAGGTGGTGGTGGCCGGCCAGCTCATCAGTAGCCATCTGGTTCCCGGGAGTGACCCAGCCTAGAGACAGGACCTCCCATGCTACAGTGGGCATTGACTTTGAGGCACTGGTGCTCTGAGAAGCTGGGCCAGCCAGGCCGCCTCTTCACCCCTCTTGAGGGGCGCCAGTGTTTTGAAAGTGCTCGCGAGGCCTTTAGGTTAGAGGCCTTTAGGTTAGGGGCAGTGTCATGCGGACACAGTCCCTCCTGCTGTGAACCAAGCGACCCTTTCTGCAGTCCTCTTTGCAGCCCAGAACTGGAAGAGCCTTTGGCTTCTCATGTGGACCTTCCAAGGTGTGGAGAACAGAGGCCAGGAAGGACAGTGGGTGTGTCCAGAGTCCCACGGTGGTGGGAAGCTGCCACTGAGGCTCCCCGCCCACGCCCGGGTCTCTTTTCCGCAAGACGGAGGAATGCGCAGAGCTCCTTGACTGAGCATTCTTTCCCGAAGTGACTAAGGTTGCAAACCTGACCCCTCCGAAGTCCAAAGTCCCCCACTGCAAGCTGTATAACCCTATCAGCCCTCTCCACAGTCCTATTCCAAATTGCCCCACATTTGTACAGCGAATGAGGGGGTTCGGGCGGTAATAACAGGTGGCGCATAACCAGCAGTCCCAGAGGAAGGGTGGGCAGACAGGGAAGGTGGTGAGACCTTGGGAGCTCCTCATCCAGCCACCACGGGCAGAGTGGGAGGTGAAAAATCCACACCTGTCACTACCCTTTCCCACTAGGATCTCACCCAAGTCATCAGGGGTGTGGCTAGACGGTGTCACCAGCTAGAAGTTGTGTGACTTTGGTGAAAGGTGCAGGGGCCAGAGAAAGCCATCAGGCCACATGCTTGAACCGACTGCCAAGGAGTAGAGTCTGTGTCGGTCGGGAGAAAGTGGGACCCCTCTCACAGTTGAGGGGGACACAGGTCCTTCTACTAGCGCAGTGCCTATGTGTGACCTCCGGGTTGAGCTGCGACATTCTTTTTTTGGCCAGAGTGCTGGCATCCCCAAACCCCTCTGCCCTGGTGTCTGTCTGACCTTCCTGCCTCATCTCTCTTACCCTGGAACCGACATGTCATCACACACGTCACCCTAAGTGGATGCTGTCTCTTGGCTTTGGGTCTGCCATGCCCAGAGCCCTCTTTGTCCCCTCTGGCTGGCGCAGCCACCCCATACCTTGGGTGGGGAGTCTCTGTGCCTCTCAGGTTCTTCCCCTCCTGTGCATTCAACGATTGAGATGACCCTGGAGTCAGGCACATGGTCCTTGTCCTTACTTTACAGCCAAGGCATCTGAGCCCGGAGGAGCCTGCCCCCTCTCCAGGACTCATTCCCTGACCTCCCCTGGGCCAGGAGCTTTCCCTCCCTGTGATCCCTCTTACCACCTCGCGTGGGAAGGGTCTGGTTTCTGTGTGAGGCCCCTGGTTTGCATTTTGTTGTCAGGCGCATTGGTCAAGGAATGAGTTGCTTTTGCTTTCTGCATAGGAGAATGTTTTTCTGTCTCATTGCACGAACTACTGCGACAGCCGGGGCAAATAGGTGCCAGAGGCTGCCTCAGCAGGGTTTTCCCCTGTGACCTGGCACTGGTATTCACACATCTCTCTTGCACCTCATTGTCTCATGTTTGTAGCCAGGAGGAGGTCTGCCGAGGTCTCTGTAGCACTTAGCATGTAATAGGTGCTCAGTAAACGTGTTGGTTTCCCTTGACTCAGAGCCACTCCTGCTGGGTG